AGATTTCAAGTCACAGGATCATAGTTTAACGAAAAAGATCTGTGATGAGATAAACAAAGTAGTTTCAAGTGACATCTGAATCATATGGTGTTAGATACATTATCAACAGCGACATCTTTTGGAAAAAATATCGATTTCGGTGGTTTAGCTACAAGAATAAAATATATTTTTTTAAATATTTATCAGTCTATTGATTATTAAAATGGCTGGAAGAGGTCGTGGACGTGCTTCTGGTGAATATATTAATTTACCTTCAAATGCAGCTGCTGATGTTGATGCTTATTTTGAATATCGAGCGTATGAAATAGAGATTTGAATTATAAATTTGAATTATATTATTTTCGTTCGTTGATAGTATTGTTGGTGATGATGATGAAGGAAAAGTATTTACTCCTGAAGAATATGAAGAATATAAGAAAAGAGTTTTACCAATGGCAAGAATTTCAATGTTTTTATTTTTTTTTTGTGTGTGATTATTGTTAAAAACTAAAGTAGAAATTAGAATTTCAAAAATTTAGGTTTAATCAAACAATCTAGTTTCTCAACAATAGATTTTTAAGGGTATGTTAAAATATTCGTGCATGATAATGGTATTATTTTTTTACTGTGGTATCGATTTTTCTGCCGTATGCAATGTCTTGTTTCTTTTTATTACTATATAATACTTATTATGCTAACGAGTCCGCACGATCACTTGGACGCACTATGAAGTGAAGATTCATTCTTACCATGTCATGGGCATGATTATTACTATGTTTGTTGTGACAGTGTCATTTGAAATTAGGAGACCATCTTTAGATAATCTGTTATTTTTACATCATATCTTGATGTCCAGTAAATTAAGACAAAATTGTTAATCTTTTACAGTAAAGAAAACATGCATATTCAGACCTATGATAGATGCATCTTATTTCTTTGTACCTTTATGCTAATTGCATAAGCTATTATTTTTGTCAGTCCATTATGTTTTGCATATTTTCATTTCTTTTTCTTGTTGTTTAAAGTTATCATTAATAATTCAACACATAAAGAAAGTAGAATTAGATTTTTATGCTATTTGTTTAAGAGACATAGATCAAAAAATCTTGCTGACTATCATAGAAATATAGCAATATTAATCTTTGTTTGAAATCTTATTTAGCATCTTCATAATCGATTATATGTTTCATGGGTTAATCCTCAAGGAATGGATTGTATTTTAATTGGACCACAACATAAATGTCCTTGCCGACATAAGTAAAATTTATTTTTGTTTTTTTTTTGTCTTCATCGAAATAATAATTCATAGGATTCTTTCTTTAAATTCAGATTTGCTGAACATAAAACAGATTTTGCTGAAATTCCTACTGAACATCCAATACTTATTTCATGTCGTCAATCAGGTTGTCGTTGTGTTTCATTTGAATATGTTACTAATGCATCGGGTACAAGTGATCCAAATTGTCGTTGTAAACATTCACTTGATAATCATACAACAAAACCACCTTATAAATGTCAAAAAAGTATTGAGAAACATTTTTTTTGTTTGATTTTCATTTACAGAAAAAAAAATATTGATCATTTAATTTTGTTTTAGATTGTAATTGTACCGGATTTTCTGCTCCATTTACATGTACATGTGGTGAATCAGCAAACAAACATATAACTCTAGTTGAAACAAAAGAAGAAAGAGAAAAACGTGGTCATCCAACTGGTTATGCAACACCATATCAAGCAATGGGTGGTTTAACAGGATTTAGTTCTTTAGCTGAAGGTTATTTACGATTGGATCCAAGCGGACGAGGTACAAAAGAAAATAACGTAAGTAAAGTTAGCACCAGATTCGAGTTCTTACTGTCTGGATTCGCTCCTGAATTTGAGTTGATTTTGGTTCAACTTGAGTTATATGCAGAATTTTACGGC